AAGAAATGGAAGTCACCTGGTTGCAAATCCACGGGTGCCCACGCGTGTTCCGCATGCACCAGCCATGTGTGCTTTCCTGTCAATTCATCCCGAGCTCTGCCCTTGTCGTTGGGGCACCCTGCTTCTCACATACCCTCTCCAGAAATTCTCCCCATTCCCCTTGGTTTTCTTTTGGATCAAGATCTTCCCTTGAGTGAGACAAAGCTCATCCGAAGCACAAAATATGGATTTGTAGCAAAAGATAGCTGATCCTGTTTTCAATTTTGGCCAGGATGGAGTCATTTAAGTGATGATAAGGACAGTTATGTCTTACTTAGGCTTTTACTGTTGCCTCATCAGTAGAAGATTGAAGTCATGTCAGACACACGTAAATAGGCAAAAATTAAGTTCAAGGCCAGGGAGAAGCCCAGGAACAGCAATTATAATTCACTGGTCATCAAGCTTTACATCTTATACCAATTCTCCATGAGGAATTAATCACTGATTTACATGACCTGGAATTCTGCTGTGGTCTTCGTTACTATGGGAAATTTGGGGGGAAATGGGATTTTTTTCTACCCTAGGCAGGAGGAGTAACTGAAGTATGTCTTACTTCCCTAATTATCCATGCCATAAAAACTGTCTCAGATGTTTGCCTAAAGTCTTGCTCATTGTTGTTGAAAATATCTTGTGGAAGGAATATATTTTTATAACAGTCTGAAAAGCTGCTAGTGGAAGATTTTAAATGGTGCTAGGAAAATATATATGGGGCTGTCAGTTCATTAAACACTGTTGCAGGGTGATCGAGGAATCACAGGTTTCTCTCCTATGTATTCCCCTCAGGGTGGCAGTTCCACTATCATTTAGTTGTTTCCTATGTGAGAAGATTTCACGGAGAGCATGGAAGTGACATGTTGATGAAAACTCTATTTTCTGGACCAAAAACTGGCACAAATGGTCTGAAAATGGAGCAAATACTTAAAACCAATACTGTTCTAAAAATATGAAAGCCATGGTTGCTCTACTTAATGTAATTCATGTTTCTCTTTCTTTGGTTGTGTTAGATAAAGAGAGGAAAGAAGGACTTTAACAGAAAGGAGTTGTAATATCTTGGTAATTACTCAAGAGACAGACTATGAAAGAAAGCAGCAATGAGAATGACCCGTAAGCAGAAATTTCTATGACAAAGGTTAAATACAAATTTTCAGGGCAGTTTTTATGCCGTAGTAGGTTAAGCCACTGCCTGTGCTGCCTGTATCCAATATTGGAGCACTAGTTTGAGTCCTGGCTGCTCCACTTCCAATCCTACTCCCTGCTCATGCACCCGGGAAAACTGTGGAATATGGGATACCCACATGGGAGACCTGGATGCAATTCTAGGGTCCTGGATTCAGCCTGGCCAAGCCCCAGGTGTTGCGACCATTTGAGGGAATGAAGCAGCAAAAGTGAATTCCTTACTTAGGGTAGAGAAAAACATTACCCTGGGATCACAAATCAATGATAATTGTGTTGTGTTCACATAAACTACTTGTTACAGTCTGCCTCTCATGCCGGACATCTGTCTTTGACTCATCCCTGTACTCCCATACCTGGTAAAATATCTGAAATCTAGAAGCACTCAACACATATGTATTGCACTCAAATGAACTGAACCACAGGAACAAAATGTCGTCACTGGACTCTCAAAGCCTCTCATCACAGAACTTCAGCTTCTCCATCAGCTCATCTCTGAGAACAACCTGCAGGATAACCAAACTGCCCTATTCCCCCAGGGCATCTGGATATACACTGAAATATCTTGTCCTCCTTCCACACCTAAGGCAATATACTGGCTGCCCAAAGTCTAACTTTCTCTGGGAACCCCACTCAACTGCAGCGAATGCTGTTCTGAGTCCAATGAATCATGAACCACCAGTCATGCTCACAAGAAACATCAGGACAAGCCACCGGATTTGCTGCTGCAGCTCATTTTTAAAAATTCACCCTCAAAAGGCACTGATTACTTCTATCAGTTTACAAGGACACCATGATTCTCCACAGGAAGGGCCACACACTCAAAGAGCAGCAGAGGCCAGACAGGTAACACGAATATACGTGTCCTATGTAGGAAAATGGTGAGCTGAATGGAGAAGTCCAACACTCCAGCTCTTCACTTCATAATGCAATGCAGGCCACATTTGCTGGTTGTTGTTTTTTTTTGTTTGTTTGTTTGTTTGTTTTTTTGTTTTTGTTTTTTTGTTTTTTGAATAGGGCAAAACCTCTGGAGCCAAACAAAACAGGCCTGTGTGCTGCCAGTCTTGACCTTGTATATAACATACTCTTTTACTACAGTTTAGAGAATGTTTTCCAAATAAAACAGCAGGAGGATATAGCAGGTGAAAAAAACTGGAAGTCAGTAGATATAACAAACTGCAGATGTAGAAGCGGCCATTGTACGTGGTGCAGACGGAGTGCTGCTTCCAGCTTCTGATCCAGCTCCGTGTTAATGTACCTGAGAGGCAGCAGATGATGGCCCAAGTGTTTGGGTTCCTGCTACTCGTGTGGAAGACCTGGATGGAGTTCCTGGCTCCTGGCTTTGGCCTGGCCCACCCTATTCCCTTGATGTTGTAGGCACTGTGGGAGTGGACTAGCAGATAGAGGATCTCTCTATCTCAATCCCTCTCTGTTCTCTCCCCTTATCTGGCCCTCTGTCTTTCAAATAAATAAATTAAAAAAAAAAAAACCTGAAGATCTAATAGGATCCTGCAAACTTCATTAGGCAAAAACACTACCTCAAGGAAAGTAATACTGTTCTGTTGGAAGGGCTCATTTATGGGACTTTATCTAGAGGTCCTATGTGTTGTATTTCAAACACATACAAATGAGTAAGGGCTGGTTTGGTTCCTCTAGCAAGAATGGAGGCCAGAAAGCTACAGTGGGATCTGACCAAGTTATACTGGTATGTCCCAAATTGTACAATTGATCACTTGCAATTTCTGTTCACAACTGATCATAATGAAAGGACTAAGAGTCAAAGGGATCACACAAACAAGACTAGTGTCTGCAAATACTAACTGATAGAATAAAAAAGGGAGAGAACGATTCAACATGGGAAGTGGGATACACAGCAGACTCATAGAATGGCAGATGTCCTAAATAGCACTCTGGCCTCAGAATCAGCCCTTAAGGCATTCGGATATGGCTAAAGAGCCCATGAGAGTATTTTAGGCATGGAAAGCCAAGACACTCGGGAAAAAAAAAGACGACCTAAATGAAAGATCTCTCTCTGCAAGTGAGATCCCAGTGGAAAGAACGGGGCCATCAAAGAAGGAGGTACCTTTCTCTGAAGGGAGGAGAGTACTTCCACTTTGACTATGACCCTGTCGGAATAAGATCGAAGTTGGCGAACTCAAAAGGCTTCCATAGCCTTGGAAACTCATGACTAGAGCCTAGGGACATTACTGATGCCATAAACAAGAGTGTCAAATTGTTAAGTCAACAACAGGAGTCACTGTGTACATACTTCTCATGTGGGGTCTGTCCTTAATGTGTTGTCCAATGTGAATTAATGCTATAACTAGTACTGAAACAGTATTTTACACTTTGTGTTTCTGTGTGGATGCAAACTGATGAAATCTTTACTTAATATATACTGAATCGATCTTCTGTATATAAAGAGAATTGAAAATGAATCTTGATGTGAATGGAATGGGAGAGGGAGCGGGAGATGGGAGAGGTGCGGGCGGGAGGAAAGTTATGGGGGGGGAAGCCATTGTAATCCATAAACTGTACTTTGGAAATTTATATTTACTAAATAAAAAAAAAGTTATACTGGTATGGAAACATGTCACTCTGTCTTAACAGAAACAAACATACACAAACTCAAAATATCCCAGGGGGATTGAAATAAAACAGGGGACTAAAGTGAATTTTGCTAATTCATTTCATCAGGATAAGTTTTTTTTTTTTCTCCCCTCTCTACATTGCTTCCTTTCGAGAACTATTTCAGGAAACACATGACTTCCGAGGGGGCTGTCAACCAGAGGGTTCTGTGAGCGGCATGATATCTAGGCTGGCCAATCCGAGAATCCCACTCTCTGGAGGTAATGGCTGGTCCAGATGCGTGCACAAATGAAGAATCAGTCCTGTTTCAGAGTAGGCTCTGGAGGCACATGAGAAGGGACGCTACAGGGGAAGATGCTGTTCTCGATCTGTCCCCCAAACCCACCAACACACGTAAAAACTCGCTTCAAAGTGAGGAAAAGAGAGGGATTCCCGATAGCAGCAGCTGAACACAAGTTCACTGTCTGAGTCTGCTGCAGATACCGACCAGTGTGTTAACTCTGCAACTAGAATAAGTCTGATTTAGGTTTCTACAAATTACAACTGGGAGCCTTGACTAATACAACAAACATTTGTGGTTCATATTTTTATTTTAGGACCCAAGTGAGTTAATTTCAGACACAGGCAGCTGAACTGTACAATTGCTTCCTGGCTCAATATAGTTTTAATTCATATTTTATGTGCATTCTATTTAAATATAGTAATGGCAAGAAATAAACATGTTTAATTCTCATTCAAGAACCTTCAAAATATATTTTCTGTACTAATTAGATGAATAATTTCATGTGCAAGCCCCCAAATTTAGAGAATATAGAAAAGCATAAAGAAAAAAAGAGTACTAATTTCAAAAGTTAGAATTAGACTACTATGTCACCCAGTCAACATATGATACATTATTTTTGGGACATACAAGTGAATGTTAAGTTGGAAAATCTATGGGACATGTTTTTGGTATGAACTACAATTTATATAAAAAAGAGATGTTTTGCGTGTCTGTACAGTAGATTGCTGGTGAAGCATTCACACATGGTAGGATAGAGACCCTCCGCAGTTGTCCTCTACAAAGCCCACGGTGGAAGCCCTGAGAGCTGAACATGCTCTCAGAAGGGACTGCATACAGACACGTGCCTCTGTCTCGTGAGAACACCTCCCACTTCACAGCTGGATTCAGATTATAGGCGGGCAGAAAACATGCTCACCTCCTCATTCTCGATTTTGAGCGTGGCCAGTCGGGACTGCAGCTGCTGGTACCTGAGCATGAGCTCTGCCTGGACTGGCTGCTGCGCGCTGACCTGACACACCTGTTGGAGAAGCGCAAGTTGCAGTTACAGCAAGGCACCACTCACCAGCCTCCAGACGCTCGGCTCTCCCGTTAAAACGCTGCACGCCCGAACCGTGCCAATCCTCTTGAGATCTCCATGACGTACTTACTTTCAGCGGCCACCTCCGAACTTCGGCTTGAAAGGCAGGCTTGTTGTGCAAGCAGCAAGCATAGCACCCAGCTGCTTAGCTCGGCACTGACTGGGTCAGTGCAGCTGCAGGAAGCGCTGCTCTAAGCACGGGGTGGTTTTCGAGATGCAGCTCCAATGCTAGAGTCTCAGTCCTGGGACCGGCAGTGACTTGGGTAGGGGGCAGAGTGCAGAGTGCCAGGGAGCTCACTGGTTGGAGCAGGGCTCTGCAGTTTGTTGTGTGTGGATCCCACCTCTGCCACCTCCTAGCCACGTGACTGTGGTAAGCTACAAAACCTCAGTTTCCTCGTCTGTAAAACGAGGGTAAGAATGTCTATACCATGGTACTGGCACAGAGTCAGAAACTCAGAAAATGTGAATGGCCAACGCCAGCATCTTTCAACTGTGCCTCCCCTGTTAGGTACATCACACGATTTACCATGAACTTGAAGAGGCCACTTAGGCTTTGGATGTAAGGTATTTTGACCATGAATGCAATTCTGGATAAGGTCAAGATGACAGCATTATTAAAATTGAACCAGAAACAATTTCTTCTCATCTTCCTGGTTAGAATAATGCTGTTGGCCGGCGCTGGGGCTCAATAGGCTAATCCTCCACCTTGCGGTGCCGGCACACCGGGTTCTAGTCCCGGTCAGGGCACCGGATTCTGTCCCAGTTGCCTCTCTTCCAGCCCAGCTCTATACGGTAGCCAGGGAGTGCAGTGGAGGATGGCCCAAGTGCTTGGGCCCTGCACCTGCCTGGGAGACCAGGAGAAGCATCTGGCTCCTGGCTTCGGATCAGTGCAGTGCGCCGGCCGCGGCAGCCATTGGAAGGTGAACCAACAGCAAAAAGGAAGACCTTTCTCTCTGTCTCTCTCTCTCACTGTTCACTCTGCCTGTCCAAAAACAAAAACAAAACAAAACAACTAGAATAATGCTCTTAGCTTTCATGGGGTCTCTAAAACATGAAGATGAGTGCTTCCTGACAGAACAGGGCCATCAAAATAGGGAACAGACTCACTTTGTTAGAACAGTAACAAGAAAAAAACCATTCACATCCCACTGAAGTCTCGTTTGTGACACTTTATCAGCCCATGTTTAACATTTCCACAATGGAAAACTGAAACAGTAACATTTGGTTTTGGAGGAGAGATACTGCTATTTGCAATAAGCCACTCATCTTGCTTGTCAAAATTCATATGCTATTGACAGAAAAAACTGCTTACCATTTCTAATCAAGTAATTTGCTCTATAAATTAAACTAAACTTTTATTAGAAAACAGCAGGTACAGATCTGCATCTATCCAATCCACCTATATGAGTTCTGACACAGTAAAACTCTTGATATTGGTAACAAGCTGACTTCAAAAAGTTCATGGAAAATGGAATTAAAAGATAAATTTCTGGGGCCAGCACTGTGGCATAGAGGGTTAAGCTGCTGTCTGTAGTGCTGGCATCCCATATGGGCACCAGTTCAAGTCTCAGCTGTTCCACTTCCAATCCAGCTTCCTGCCTGTGTACCTGGGAAAGCAGCAGAGGATGGCCCAAGTCCTTGGGCCCCTGTATGCTCATGGGAGGCAGGGAAGAAGCTCCTGGCTTCTAGCTTTGGTCTAGCCCAGCCTCAGACACTGTGGCCATTTGGGGAGTGAACCAGCGGATAGAAAATCTCTCTGTCTCTCCTCTTTAACACTGCCTTTCAAATAAATTAATAAATCTTTTTTAAAAAGGATAAATTTCTTTTGGTGCTAAAAATCCTTTTGAAATTCGTGAATAGCTTTTCATAATGTGTATTTCCAAGAACTTTTTGATAATTCTTCAAAAGTATGGATATCAGTTTTTTTTATAATAAACTGAATTTTTAATTCTATTTTCCATGCACTTTTTGAAGTACCTTGACACATCTTACATATCTTAATATATTTGGTGACTAAGAAAAATATAACTACAAAGAAATCTTCCATGAATATTATACTTACACCTATTTTTAAAAAGACTATTTTTATCATAGCTAAATTGAATTTTAATCTGTTAGTTTTATTTTGCACAGCTGAATACAAAGTGCTATACCACAGGCTCCATTGGTTGTTTTTTCTTGCTTTCTCCCTATCCATAGATAATATAAACAACTGTAACTCATAATCAGTTTAAAAAGTTTTTTAGTGGGGCAGAGGAAAATAGGATAAAAAGCTAAATTCACATAAAGAATCTAAGACATAATATATATAATTTCTAGTGCTCATTTTACCAATGTGGAACCAGCTTGAGTCTTAAAAATATGTTTTGCATTGTTTTTTCTCTCTTCCATTTATATACATATATTTTTCTTTTAAATAAGGGATCTTTAAGTCAGGATTACAAGGAGTTTTCAGACAGATTCTACTGGGCCAGAAAAAAAATTTTTTTTAATTTAAATTTGAATGTCTTGAGGTGGAGGCAGAACTTTCATCTCCTGTTTGTCACTTCAGAGTTTACAGTCAGGCAAGCCTGTGCCTTTATTTGTTTGGATGCTACAGGAATTTTGAGTATCTGACCCTTGCTTTTCAATGTGGTAGCGGCTGACCTCAGCATTAAGTAAAGAGCCTGTGCAAGGCCAGGGGGCAGAATACAACTGGGAATTCTTACAACTGCTGGGTTACAGCAGGGGAGCAGAATCCTAAGGGAAGAGACTTGAAAACCAATTACTGACCTCATCACCCATGTGAGACTGAAACTCAAACTTCATTGGTGGACAGAATGCAGCAGGGTACATCTCCATGAATCTCTGCTTATCGCTCCTGGGCTCTAAATTGTCAACTGCGTTCTCAATGATGTCCAAGCCTTCGTGTCGGGAGGTTTCGAGGTTATACTCCGCAGAGAGGTATGTTCTCAGGGCTCTGTTCAGACTTGCGTGGTAGCCAAGATCACAGCACTTAAAACATAAAAGAGAGCCATAAACAAAAATTAGCTTTAAAAGTGTTATGCAAGTCAAAAAGGACCACATATTGAATGATTCCATTTATATGACATGTTCAGAACAGGCAAATCTATATAGACAGAAAGTAGTTTAGGGGTTGCCTAGGGCTGGGGGATTGAGGGATTGGGGGATGATAGCTGAGGGGTATAAGACTTCTTTGTGGGGGTAATGAAAATGTTCTAAAATTGTTGCAGTGATGGATAACCAACTCTGTAAATGTCAAAGGCAACCATAGGTTTTTAATGGTAGGTTTATATGGTATGTGTGTTACATCTTAATAAAGTTGTTAAAAATAAAAGCAACAAAATAAAATACTGAAAGGGAATGATGAAAAAATAGCATTCAAGTTTCATTCATATAATACTGAGATTGAGAAAATGATTCATTGAGAGCCTTCTAGGCTGCACATATACTAACGGTAGTGTTTTGGATTTGCATATTTATTGAAGACTCAAGAATAATATGTACTCTTTCAAAAGTAGAAGAACAGATTTGAATCTGCCAAAATAGCCCATGAATGCCTTCCCTCTTTATCCCCAGAATAAAATTCTTAAATAAGAAATGAATGCCAAAGTCCTCTCATTGAAGACAGAATTTTCTTCAGTACTCCTTGGAACAAAAGAACTTGAGATTCTTCCATCTCCATAAACTTTAATTTGTATTTGTGCTTATTTTTTCATGTTATATTGTATTTTAAAAATATAACTGGATCAATTATTGACAGGATTTTTTATTGTACATAAAACTAGTACAAATCCCTTTAAGAGGAAACGTGTTTTCAAGGGTACAAAACCAGGTCATCCCTTTATTTTTCTAATGAACTTCAATCAATTCAATTTGATTCAACTCCCTAATTGTCCAGCAGCAAGGGAAACCGCAAGTGTCAGGGTATATGAAGACTGGAACACAGTGAAATCTCTCTTTCCTCAAGGAATTTGACATGAAATGTTCATTAGTTTGCTAATAGTAGTAGTAGAAGGGTACAAAGGAATCAACGTTTGTGCAAAAGACGTATCCACAAGAATGCTGACTATCAGATCTGCCGTTATGAAGGTACATATGCAATTACTGTCCTGTCCTTAGAAATACCGAACTATTTAATTCTACCCTTTACCCTACAATTTTGCACTTGTTAAATTTGGAATTTTTAGGTAAAGGAATCTAAAATCCTGCTTTCTATAGTTTCAGCTGTGCAGCAGGAGTAACAGCTTCCCCAAGAACTTACTAGAAATGTAAACTCTTGGGTCCCATTCCCAACCTACTAATTCAGAGTCCGAAGTTCAGAAAGGATCCAGGGGTAGGTGTCTGGCTCAGTGGTTAGGACGCTGATTTCCAGATCAGAGTGCTTGGGTGCCAGTTCTGCCTGTACTCCTGATTCCTGCTAATATGCAGCCTGCGAGGCAGCGGGTGATGGCTCAAGTCACCTACATAAGAGATCTGGATAACCAGCTCCTGGTTTTCACCTGGCCCAGGCTCAGCTGTTGCAGGCATCTGAAGAGAGAACCAGCAGTTGGGAGCCCTCCATCTGCCTGATTCTGTCTCTCTGCCTCTCGAAGAAATAAATTAACAAATTTTAAAACATCCACAGGTGACTCATTTAACCGTCTGAGAAGCACTTCTCAAACAATCATCTAGTAAAAGGGTTCTACAGCTCCGTCCTTTGGGGGTGCTATTTCCCAAAGCGGGCAGCAGGACTGGGTTACAGATTCCTTGATGAGAAACATCAGAAGGAACTTGCGACACTGCAATTACAAACACAATCATGAAACGCAGCCACCAGTCTCGTCACTAATACATTTCCAGTGGAATCAGCTGCACTCAAATAGAGAATGATTCATTTTCGGTTAATTTAAAAATTCTAGTCTCAGATGACTAAGATAACAAAGTCCTCTTTTATTCCTCTTTCTCTGCAAAAAAACCCAGAATAGTTCTATGTAGCACATCAGAGGACTGAAAAGTTATTGTATCTTCCCATAACACCTTATTTTGTGAAAACATGAATTTGTAAAGGAAATGGCCTCGATTCCTTGAGATGTGCCAGTGCTTCAAAAACATCCTACTATTCCAAAAGAAGACAGATCCGACTTGATTATAAGGAAGCAGATGAGACAAGCTGCTTTACTTTATGAGTATTGATCCCAATGGGACTTAATAAGAAATTGAAATTGAGAGGAAAGCAACAAGCCAGAGAAAGGCCTTTACTTCCCCCAGCAAAAACCAAGTCTCTTACAACTTGAAAGAGAAAGGAAGAAGAGCAAGCAAAACAAAAAAGCAAGAACTCTAACCCCCAACAACCTCATTGATTTGGAGCTCTGAAAAATACCAAGTTTTCATTATTCGCAGACTTAAGCAGCTCACTACTCAGAATTCTCAGTGTGTCTTCTTTGGGGGGAATGAACATCAAGGCAACAGATGCACCAGTGCCTGCTTCCACAGCCGGTGCAGTCAGGTGAACCCGGAGAGAGGCAGGGCCCTGATTGCGCTGTGGCTTCCTACCAGCCTGGGAGGAGCCGGCACGCGGCCAGGAACTCATCTGGAGACTGCAGATCTCTCCTGAACACTGGGAGCTGCGCTGAGGAGGCTCCTGGGAGGAGTCGTGAGGGAACTTTCCTCTTCCGACCTTAACAGTGCTTGCCAGACTGGAAGGTCACTGAACTGGCACGATGGTGCTCCCTCTGATAAGCAGCATTTCTATACTCGAAAGCACGTTCCATTTAAACAAGAAACAGTGAAAAACATTCTTCTTCAAGGTCTCCTGAGATAGCGAGGCCAGTCATAGGATCATTCCCTCCCTCCCTAAACTAGAAGCTGAAATGACACTGGATATTGTTAAAATTCAAGATGCTTGGTTAAAAAGATCTAAAGTAATTCTATGGAGCTTATGAATTATTAATGATGAAATGAAAAGCCAGCCTCTGTACAAAGAGCTGAGTTATAATCCAAGTGCATTTAATGATGAAAGTACATAAGAAACCAGAGAAATATTTCATGGGAACAAAGCAGTGTTATTCTGGTGGATGAAAAATTCTGAGTGAATACATAAAATTATGGATTAAAAATCTGGGGAGGAGAAGACTGTTGGAAGTAGAAGGGTATAATTTTGTTTTTGATATCTGAAGAGCTGACAAGATGGACTCTACTCAGTATCAGTCTAAATCATCACAGTGTGGTGACTTCCTTAGGCAAAAAGGTTGCAAATAATATGAAAATGAAGATTGAAATCCAAGTGTTGAGCACCATGATAAAGACTTCATCTTAGCGGGCACCGTGGCTCACTAGGCTAATCCTCCGCCTTGCGGCGCCGGCACACCGGGTTCTAGTCCCGGTCGGGTTGCCGGATTCTGTCCCGGTTGGCCCTCTTCCAGGCCAGCTCTCTGCTGTGGCCAGGGAGTGCAGTGGAGGATGGCCCAAGTACCTGGGCCCTGCACCCCATGGGAGACCAGGATAAGTACCTGGCTCCTGCCATCGGATCAGCGCGGTGCGCCGGCTGCAGTGCGCTGGCCGTGGTGGCCATTGGAGGGTGAACCAATGGCAAAGGAAGACCTTTCTCTCTGTCTCTCTCTCTCACTGTCCACTCTGCCTGTCCAAAATAAAACAAGATACAGGACACATCGACTTCATCTTGTCCCACAAGCTGAGTGAGTGGAAGGTAGCAGGGTAGGTGGGGACAATTGGATCCCAACCATTCAGAGAGACACTCACTATTTTTGTACAAACTGAAAAGTGGAAGGCTGCTCCTAAAATAGAGTTATCATGGAGCTGCATGGGCAAAAAGTGCAACATTCACGTTTGCACAACGCCTAGTGAGAGCCAGCCTTATTTGCAGGGGGCAGCCTTGGAAATGCCTGGAGGGCAGCCCCGAGCTCCCCGCGACTCTGGGATTAAGCAGTTGTCATGAGGCTTCGAGAGGGGAGGCAGTGTGCTACCTTCACTTCTCTACGCTGGCCTCTGCCTCGGAGACCACTTCTGGGAGTTTTTCTCCTGGGTTTTAATAAGCTTGGCTTTGAACATTCCAGAGCAAATGGATACAGCAGAGAGACTGCCCAGGCCTTATTTTGAGTCTTTCTGAAAAACTGTGCAATGCAAGGAAACTGAAGTCTAAGTACAGCTAGATTTTATGTCACCCTGGATAGCATCCCCAGGGCCACAAACAGAAAAGTCCAGGCCTTTTACATCAAAACTGAAATGAAGTAGTTTTCTTTTCCATGGCTATCTCTTTGTCCCTCACTCTTTTGCTCTCTCACTATTTAAGTACCGTACCCCAGAAACTGCAAACACAATTTGCAAGTGAGGGGCATCTTGCAGTACCAAACCCAGATGTCTAAAATTCTACAGCAATTTTCATACACCTGCTTCTATGTCTGGGTTCCTGTGATCCACGGAGAGCAATTTAATTCTTGCTGCCGCCTTACCAACTGTAGCTAAGCATTTAGCAAAAACTATTTTGTATTTCTTTTGAGCAATGAAAAGGTCAAAGTGGAACATTTGTGTGATAGGAATGGATACGAAGCAGAAGAGAGGAGACTCGAGGTTGCTATGCCTGAGCCAATGAGTAGGCTGAACAATCATTTGCTGCCTAATCCAGCTCACTCCCATTTACACGTGGACAGTCACTTCCTTCAGAGGAGCTTCTCCCAGACCCATTTTCTCCAGACCAAACAAAGCAAGCCCAAAGAAATACAGACCAGATGGTAAATGCTATGGAGAAAATAAAAGGTCAGAGGGACAGGGAGTGTTAGGAGGAAACATACTGCTTTATTATACATGCAAGTTGAGGTGTAGCAGGAGCGAAAAGAAGGAATCAGAGGGCGGCGCTGTGGCGTAGTGGGTAAAGCCGCCACCTGCAGTGCCAGCATCCCATGTACATGCAGGTTTGAATCTCGGCTGCTCCACTTCTGATTCAGCTCTCTACTATGGCCTGGGAAAACAGTAGAAGATGGCCTCAGTGCTTGGGC